TATATATATTATATATAATATATATATATATATATATATATATATATATATATATAATCGCAGAGTAGAAATACACCAAACTCCGTATCATCCAGAGCAAGTAAACAAAAAAAAAAAAATAAAATACAAAAAGAGGTCGAGCATTTGCCGAGGAAACCCATTTTAAAGAAACAAACTCTCGCCGATTCTCGCGAAACCCGAGATTCGGCGAGACCCTGACGCAGACGTCCGCCATTGCCGCCTCGAAGGAGCGAGAAGGGAAATCATCCGTCTTGTCGCCAGTGCGTTTCTCGCCCCGGCAGAAACGTCAATGGATTCGCATTTATCACACACACATACCTACACGAGCGTACGTGTGGTATATGCACACGCGCACACGCTTACAGGTATGCTTATGGTGTATACATGTGTGCACAGAATGTTAGATAGGTGATCACACAAATGCAATCTTACTTTCCATATGCGTACTAATGTGTACATAAGAAAGACTTACTTGGTACTAACAGACATATATAATGAACATATATATGAACAAATAATCTTGTTTGCATACACAAATCAACACACACACACATCAACACACACACACACACACACACACACACACACACACACACACACACACACACACACACACACACACACACACACACACACACACAAATAAACAAACAAGCAAATGCACACACACACACCACACACCAAACACACACGCATACGCACACACACACACACACACACACATATACACAACACACCACACACACACACAACAACACACACAACAAGCACACCACACACACACAACACACACACAAACAAACAGCAAATGCACACACACACACACGCATACGCACACACAACAAACAGACACACGCAGAGCCACCCCCCCCCCCAAAAAAAAAAAAAAAAAAAAAAAATCACGGCATACCCTCCCGCCTCAGATTCCGATGCGTGTGTATAAAGCCACAGACGATGAATGGAAACGGGTCCTTGATAAACATCGTCGTCCTCGTTCTCTTCCTCCTCCTCGTCCTCCTCCCGTAATCTCCTCCTCCTTCTCCTCCTCTTCCTTCCCCCTTTATCCCCTCCTCCTCCTACTCCTTCCCTCTCCATTCCCTCCTCCTTCTCCTCGTCCTCCTCCGTAATCTCTCTTCCCTCTTCTCCTTCTCCTCCCTTTATCCCCTCCTCCTCCTACTCCTTCCCTCTCCATTCCCTCCTCCTCCTCCTCGTCCTCCTCCCGTAATCTCCTCCTTCTCCTCCTCTTCCTTCCCCCTTTATCCCCTCCTCCTCCTACTCCTTCCTCTCCATTCCTCCTCTCTCCTTCTTGTCCTCCTCCCGTAATCTCCTCTTCTTCTCCTTTTCCTTCCCCCTTTATCCCCTCCTCCTCCTACTCCTTCCTCTCATTCCCTCCTCCTCCTTCTTGTCCTCCTCCGTAATCTCCTCCTTCTTCTCCTTTCCTTCCCCTTTATCCCCCTCCTCCTACTCCTTCCCTCTCCATTCCTCCTCCTCCTTCTTGTCCTCCTCCACTTCTCTACCCTTTATCCCTCTCCTCTACCTCCCTCTCCATTCCCTCTCCCTCCTCCTTCCCCCTTCTATATTTCCTTCTTGCCCTCCTCTCCACTTCTCTATCTCCTCCTCCTCCTCCTCTATCTCTTTTCCTCCTCCTTCCCCTCTATCTCCTCCTCCTTATCCTCCACCTCTTCCTCCTTTCCATCACCTTCTCCTCAGCCTCCTCCTCTTCTCTCCTTTCCACCTCCTTCTCCTCCCGCTCCTCCTCTTCTAGTTTTCTCTCTGTTTTTTCCCCTCTCTTCCCTATCCTCTTTTCTACCTTGTTCTTTTCTCTTCATTCTAGTCCTCCTTTTCCTTCCTCCTTCCTCTCCTCTTCCCAGTCACCCCTATCCTTCTCTCTCTTTCTCCTTCCTTTTATCCCTTCCCTCCTTTCCTCCCTTCCTCTCACCCCTACCTTCGCCCTTCTCCCTTATGTTTCCTTCTGTTTCCCTTCTTCTTCTTTCCTCGTACCACTCCTCTCCCCATTTTATCTCTCCTCTTTGTTCTCCCCTTCTTTTTTCTGTTTCTTTCTTCCATTCCTCATTTCTTTGCCCCACCCTTCATCCCCTCCTCTCCTCTTTTTTCCCTTCCCCTTCTCCATCTTTCCTCCTCTTCCTTTCCTTCCCCTTTATCCTCTCCCCTATCCTTTCCCTCCCCTTCCCTCCTCTTCCTCCCTCTTCTTCCCTTTCCCTTACCATCCTTATCTTTCTTTCTTCCCCTTTCCTCGCATCCTTCCTTCCCCTCCCCCTCCCTTCCTTACCTTCCACCTCTACCCTTCCCTCTCTCACTTCCTCCCTACCTTCTCCCTTCCTCCCTCATCCTTCTCTTTCCTCTCCCCCAATCCTCCCCTTCCTTTACCCCCTACATCCTACCTCCCCCCTCTTCTTTCCCCTTCTCTCTCCCCCCCCCAATCCCTCCCTCCCTTCCCTCTCCCAACCCCTCCTCCTCCTCCCCTCCCCTCCCCCTCCAATCTCTCCCCTCCACCCCTTCCTCTCCCACCCAATCCCTCTCCCCTCCTCCCCTCCCCTCACCCCTCTCTCCCTCCCTCCCCTCGTCCCAAGCTCACTCGGGCCATATTCCTCCGGCTCCGATCTCTCCCGGATGCCATCCTCCCTCCGGCTGAGATATGGGTCGTTGATGGCTTGAAGAGAAGGGAAAGGAACGGCTTTTTTCGAGCTCGGCTTTTGCACGGAGGAATAGGAGGATGGAGGGATAGAAGGGAAGATGGAGGGATGGAGGGATAGAAGGGAAGATGGAGGGATAGAAGGGTGGAAGGAGAGATAAAATAAAGGGTGGAAGCATAGAAGGGTAGATAAAATAAAGGATGGAAGCGTGGAAGGATAGATAAAATAAAGGATGGAAGCATAGAAGGATAGATAAAACAAAGGATGGAAGGGTGGAAGGATAAAACGAAGGATGCAAGGATGGAGGGATAGATAAAATAAAGGATGGAAGGATAAAACGAAACATGAAAGCATAGAAGGATAGATAAAACAAAGGATGGACGGATAAAATGAAGGATGGATGGATAAAAAGAAGGATGGAGAGATAGATAAAACAAAGAATAGAAGGATGGAAAGATAAAACGAATATCGGAGTGAAGGATGGGAGGATGGAACGAAGGATAGAAGGATGAGAAGAGAAAGGATATAACAAAGAATGAAAGGATGGACGAAAGGATAGAAAACTGATTAGAACAAAGGTTGGAAAGATGGATAGGATGATGATAAGAAGGGTATAACGAAGGACAGGAGGATGAAACAAAGAATTGCAGGACAGAATAAACGGTAGATAGATGGAGAAAATAAACGATCGGGTTGATGATGGATGGAAGAATAGAGCAAGGGATAGATGGATGGAGAAAAAAAAAGGTTAAATTGACGGATGGAAGAGGGAAACGATGGCTAGGTATTCACGATAAAAGGAAATGGATAGACGAAAGACGGGGATGAAAGAGACAGATAAACGTTGGAAGGAAAGAAACAGGATGGAGAGATGAAAGGAGAGGTTAGAGGAAAGGATAGAAGGAAAGAAGGATAGAAGGTGGAAGGATGGAGAGAAAAAAGAATGAAAGGATAGAATAGAGGAAAGGATAGAAGGAGAGAAGGACAGAAGGTGGAAGGATAGGGAGGAAGAAAGATGGAATAATGGATAGAGAAAAAGATGGGAATAAAATACAGACAGAAGGTGGAAGAATAGGGAGAAAGAAAGATGGAATAATGGATAGAGAAAAAGATGGGAGTAAATACAGACAGAAGGTGGAAGGATAGGGAGAAAGAAAGATGGAATAATGGATAGAGAAAAAGATGGGAGTAAATACAGACAGAAGGTGGAAGGATAGGGAGAAAGAAGATGGAATAAAGGAAGAGAAAAGGATAGTGGGAGGAGGGATGAAAGGATGGAAAGACGGGCAGTTAAAAATGTGGAAGGAATGATAAAAATGAGAGAAAATGAGGTGGATAGAAGACATATGAGTGAGAGAAGAAGAAAGAATAGAAGGAAGGATACTAGACATAGAAGGAATAGCGAATAAACGGAGAATGGAAATAATGGTGAATAAACATATAGAATGAAGGATATATGAGTAAACGAATAGGAAGAGTTTTTAATCATGATAAAGCAAGGAAAATAGAGGAATAGGAAATTTGGAATTAAGGGAAAACAACGACAAGAAGAAAAAAAAAAGAGAAAAAGAATACGGAATAAAAATGAAATACAAAAAAAAAATAAAAAATAAAAAGAAGATACTAAAGACAAATGAGGAAAATCTTGAAATATAAGAAAAAGAAAAGAAAAAAAAGATAAATAAAAATTAAAGACAGAGAAAAAAAACACATCTATTAAGTTAGAGACTGAAACTATTGTATTTTTTGGTAGATAGGATGTATTTCTGACCGATATTATCATTTGCTATTGTTCGCTGTTGAATTTATTAAATACCTTCAATCCAGTGAAATACAATAAAGGTAATTGTGGATGTTATCGTCTTTTGTTATGATTGATATAGGCACTTCAAATAGGAAATTAGATTTAACATTTGTTCCTCTTACATTATATATATATATATATATATAATATATATATATATATATATATATATATATATATATATATATATATATAATATATATATATATGTATATATATATATATGTGTGTGTGTGTGTGTGTGTGTGTGTGTGTGTGTGTGTGTGTGTGTGTGTGTGTGTGTGTGTGTGTGTGTGTGTGTGTGTGTGTGTGTGTGTATGTATATATATATATATATATATATATATATATATATATATATATATATATATATATATATATATATATATATATATATATATATATAATGCTAGTATCATATAAGAATGGTACCAGTGTTCCATTCCACACCATATCTCACTCACCGCACGACACCGCCACCTCAACCGCACCAAGTAACACTCCTTTCCTCATTTCCTCAG